AAAAAACAAAAAAATAACAGTCCTGCTGGTGTGGCTCAATGGCTGTCCCATGCACCAAAAGGTCACCAGTTCAATTCCTGGTCAGGAAACTTGCCCAGATTGTGGTTTCAATCCCTAGGTGGGGTGCATACAAGAGGCAACTGATCAATGTTTTTCTCACATTGATGTTTCTCTCTCACTCCCTCTCCCTTCCTCTCTCCCTAAAAAATCAATAAAAACTTTTTTTATTCTGTTTTCCCAAATAAGGGGTTAAGGTAATCCAGTCCCACTAAGGGAACACTACAATCCATGTTTGCCAACATGATGTTCATTTCTGACTAATTGTTTTCTAGAACAACCACACAATTCCCCCAAAATTGTACCAGCAGGAAAGGAGTTGAGAAAGTTTCTGTAGAGGCCCTGGGGACAGAGGACAGAGAGGAGCCTCCCAGAGGACAAAGCTAGATATGGAAAGAAAATGAGCCATCTTTACTCCCTATAACTTTTTAAATCTTGCCCCTCCATCGTTGGCATCTGGACAGTAGCAAGGGAAGGAGTGGGAAGTAAAACTATGTCAGCTTGAGGGGTGGGCTTTGGGCTGCAAGTATCGAAAAACCCAAATGCAAGTGGGTTTAAATGAGACCCATAGATAAAATGACAATTTATCCTTTGACACACCAAGAAATGTTGGAGGACAGAGATTTTTCATCCTTTCTACTCTGCCATTCTTGGATGCTGTGTCACAAGATGGCTGCAGAAGCTCCGGACATCACCTTCTCACAGAGACGCAAACAGAGGCAAGCAAAGAAAACGTCTCTTCTCACAGCTTTTTTAAAGGTAAGGAAACTACAGACTCCTGTTCTGCTGCCTTCCCTCCCACTCATATTGGCTAAAACTGAGTCATGCATGTGCCCATTTCTATATCAATCTCTAACAAGAGAATGTAGTTATGATTGGCTTATAATAATCATAATTTTCAACTCTGATCGCTTAGGCAGCACACATGGAAAAGTGAAATGATAATTTTCAACTCTGGATCTAGCAGAAGCCCAACTTCCAAGATTTCCCTGAGACCTAATCTAAAGCAGGGTTCTGTGAGCAAGAAGAGAGAACACGAATGCTGTGAGCGCTGTCCGGCATCATAGGCTCTTCCTAGAGTTCACATCAGGGAGAGGAAGGCCTTCGATGTGCTTCTTCCCCCATACACATCCCTTATTCGTTACCTAATGCTTCATTAACAGATTACCCCAAACTTGGTGACTTAGAACAACTCATGTTTCAACATGGGTTCAAGAAACCCATCCATTTAGGATTTTCAAAATCTTATTGCTAAGCTATGCAAAAAGGGCCGTAAAATTAGAAAACAAAGAAGCCCACCCTAACTGGTTTGCCTCAGTGGATAGAGCCTTGGCCTGTGGACTGAAGGGTCCCAGGTTCGATTCCAGTCAAGGGCATGTACCTTGGTTGTGGGCACATCCCCAGTAGGAAGTGTGCAGGAGGCAGCTGATCGATGTTTCTCTCTCATCAATGTTACTAACTCTCTATCCCTCTCCCTTCCTCTCTGTAAAAAATAGATAAAATATTTTAAAAAGAAAAGAAAACAAAAAGCCTGAAGAGGCACCCCAAAGGCAAGGCACAGAGGACAGTGTGAGAAGTCAGAGAAATGGTAGCTAGGTTTCCCCAACATGATCAGAAGTGTGTAGATAGGGAGAGTTTTTCTGAGGTTTTGCCTCCCTCCTTTTTAAGAGATTCCACTTGCAAGTGTACCAAATAGGATCCAACAGGAAACGGTTGACACACTCCTGATCTATATATATATAAGGCTAATATGCAAAGTGCCCCTCCAGAGTTTTACTGGGAGAACGGGAGTTAGATCACTCACTATGACTTGCACTGACCACCAAGGGGAGGTGCAGAATGAAGGAACGCCCCTGCTGGCAGCCGGAAGACCCCAATCAGCCCTGATTGCCAGACAGGCCTAGGGACCCTATCCATGCACAAATTTCATGCAACAAGCCTCTAGTAGATAATATAGGAACAGATTCTTAACGGGGCTGTTAGTAAATGTATGGGTAGAGTTAAGGCTGATAAAGCACCCCAGAGCTACAAAAACTGGAGATCTGTTTATACCTACTTGTCTGAAGGTACAAAGGAGAGGGTGGTTACAGCTACAAGAGAAAGTGGCCTAGTGGAAGGGACTGTGGTTTCTGGTTTTAAGAGAACAGTCGCCAATGGCACCACTTAGAGAGAGAGATCCATGGGAATAACATCATGACCTTTCCCTCCTCCTGTCCTCCACCTCCTGCCTGTGCCTACCATTGGCCAAAACCAACCAAAAGTCAGACAGCAGAGAACAATCACTGTAGTTCATACAGGTTGGTTTCCTAAGACATAGAGCAGGTGGACCTGTTGGGACAAGTGGAAGGTGCAGCATATTAAGCACAGACCATAGTTTCCTGGAAAATATCACATTGGAAGACCCACCAACAGTATTTATCTTGATTTCTTTTCTAGTTCCTTGAGGTATAAAGTTAAATTATTAAATTGGAATCTTTCTTCTTTTTAAATGGAAGCACTTACAGTTATGAATTTTCCTCTGAGCAATGCTTTTGCTGCACCCTCTAAGTTTTGGTATGTTGTGTTTTCATGTTCATACATCTCAAAGTATTTTCTTTTTTTAATTTAATGTTGTTTTATTTCTTAAAGTATTACAAAGAGTATTACACATGTCTCCTCCCCCCCCCTTGATTTTCCCGGCCTCCCCTACTCCCCAGTGTCTTGGGTCCATTGGTTATTCTTATATGCATGCATACTAGTCCTTTAGTTGATCTCCTAACTGCCCCTCCAATCTTCCCCAGGCTTCCCACTGTAGTTTGACAGTCTGCTCAATGCTGCTCTGCCTCTGTATCCATTTCTGTTCATCAGTCTATCATGGTCCTTTTGTTCATGTTTATAATGGTCTTTATTATCCATAAATGAGTGAGATCATATGGTATTTTTCTCGGCTTCCCAGGGGCCATCACAGCCTCGCAGGGGACGCTGCAGCTTCACAGGGGCCATCTCAGCCTCACAGGGGCTGTCCCAGCCTCACCAGGGCCATTCCAGCCTCACCGGGGTCGTCCAAGCCTCACCGGGGCCGTCTCAGTCTCACTGGGGCCATCCCAGCCTCACAGGAGCCGTCCCAGCCTCATCGAGGCCATTTCAATCTCACCGGGGCCGTTTCAACTTCACAGGGGCCATTTCAACCTCATCAGGGTGGTTTCAGCCTCACCAGGGCCATTGCAACCTCATCGGGGCTGTCCCAGCCTCACCAGCGCCGTCTCAGCCTCACCAGGGCCATTTCAGCCTCATCAAGGCCGTTTCAACCTCACCAGGACCGTTTCAACCTCACAGGGGCCGTTTCAACCTCACCAGGGCCATTGCAACCTCATCGGGGCTGTCCCAGCCTCACCGGTGTTGTTTCAACCTAACCGGGACTGTTTCAACCTCACGGGGGCCGTCTCAGCCTCACTGGGGCCGTCCCAGCCTCACAGGGGCCATCCCAACCTCACAGGGGCCATTTCAACCTCACCAGGGCTGTTGCAACCTCACCAGGGCCATCCTAGCCCCACCATGGCCATCCCAACCTCACCGGGCCCATTCCAACCTCACTGGTCAAAGTATTTTCTAATCTAACTTGTAATTTCTTATTTGACCCATTAGAGGGTCATGCACTGGAGGGGGGTTCCTCAGCCTGGCCTGCCCCCCTCACAGTCCGAGAGCCCTCAGGGCAGGAGGCGACCCAACGATCAGGGGAAAGCAAAGCCCCCATCACACCTCTGCTGCTGCCACTGCCGGCAGCGCTAGTCTCAGCCGGCCCTGGTTACCTGAGGCTCCGGTGGCCCTGGGAGACTGGGCAGCCACAATCTGAGGCTTGCCTGCACCTCGGGCCAAATCTGGGCGGATGGAGGGCTGAGGGGGATGGGGGACTCTGGAGGCAGGCGTTCCATCGGTGCTGAGGGGACTGGGTGCCACCATATTGTGACTGTGGGTGCCACCATCTTTGAGGGTGGGGCAGTCAATTAGCATATTCCCTCCTTATTGGCTGTGGGTGCTGCTATTTTTCAGGGTGTGGCAGTCAATTATCATATTCCCTCTTTATTGGGTGAGGGCGCTGCCATCTTTGATGTCAGGGCAGTCAATTAGCATATTCCATGGTTATTGGCTGTGAGCACCGCCATCTTTTGCAATAGCATGAAGGTCAATTAGCATATTCCCTCTTTATTAGATAACATTGGTTAAGAATGTGTTGTTTAATAGCCACATATTTGTGAAGTGCCAATCTTCCTCCTGTTACTGATTTCTCATGTCATTTCATTTGGGTCAGAGAAGATATTTTTGATTATTTCAATCCATCACTAGGGTTTAATTAAACAAAAGTGAACTATTAAATCACAATGAGATACCTTTTTGCATCTACTAGGATCAGTATAATTTTAAAAAATGAAATATAACAAGTGTTGGCGACAGTGTGAAAAAATTGCAACCCTCTTATACTGCTGGAGGAAATATACACCGCTATGGAAACAGTTTGGTGATTTCTCATAAAGTTAAACAAATAATTACCTTATTAATCAACAATTCCACCTCTAAGTACACGCCCAAAGGAACTGAAAACAGGGACGCAAACAAATACTTACACATGAAGATTCATAGCAGCACTTTTCACAGTAGCCAACAGATGGAAACAACCCAAGTTTCCATTAACAGATGAATGAATAAACAAAATGAATATCCATGCAATGGAATAATATTCAGCCATAAGAAAGAAGGAGGTTCTGCTACATGTTACAACATGAATGAACCTTCAAAACATGGTAAGCGAAATAAGCCAGACACAAAAGGACATCTATCAAATTATGTCATTTGTGGGAAATATCTAGCATGGTACATTTACAGTAACAGAGAGTAGATTAGAGGTGACCAGGGACTGGGAGAAGGGGAAATGGGGAGTCATTGCTTAATGGGTACAGAATTTCAGTTGAAGATGAAAAAAGTTTGGATAATAGACCATGGTGATGGCTGCACAAAATTGTGAATATAATTAATGCCACTCAATGGCACACAAAAAAGGTTAATACAACAAATTTTATGGTCTATATATTTTACAGCAATAAAAAATTTTAAATACCCCTTCTTTCTTTTTCTCTCATCATGCACCAAAGAAATACAGGCAGTCCTCGGGTTACATCAGACTGGACGTACATTGTTTCATGGTTACGTCACCATCTCCCATCCTATATAATAAAGAGGTGATATGCAAATTAACCCTCACACCCTCACAAGATGGCTTCTGACAACCAGGCCGACAGGGGGATTAGCGAGTGACAACCAATGACTGAACAAGCAGGCTGCATAGGGCAACCAGGCTGGTAGAGGGGGACAGTTTGGGGTGACCAGGCTGGTGGGGGTGGGGGGCAGAAAGGGGTGACCAGGCCAAAAAGGGGTTAGTGAGGAATGACCAAACGACTGAAGAATCAGGCTGCGTGGGTAACCAGGCCAGCTGGAGGGCCATGAGTGGAGACCATGCCAAGGGAGGGCGGTTGGGGGTGACAGGCCAGCAAGGAGGACAGTTCAGAGTGACCAGACTAGCGGGGGTGGGGCAATTAGAGGTGACCAGGCTGGTGGCGGGGGGTGGCAATTAGAGGCCAGCATACAGAAGCAGTGAGGTGCAATTTGAGCAGAAGGGGGAAAGGGAGGGCAGTTAGGTGCTACCAAGCAAGCAGGCAGGTGAGCAATTAGGAGCCGGAGGTCCAGGATTGTGAGAGGGATGTGCGACTACTGGTTTTGGCTCAATCCCAGGGATTGGGCCTAAACAAGAAGTCAGACATTGCCTGAGGGGTCCAGGATTGGAGAGGGTGTATGCTGGGCTGAGGGTACCGCCTTCCTTATGCACTACTTTCATGCACCAGCCCTCTAGTTTATTTATTTTAAAAAAAACTTCCAGAAAAAAAAGAAAATGGTGGAGGTTTAGACAGAGGTGTCCGTGACTTGACCCAGAGCAGATAAGGGCGAGCAGCTGAAACGGGTAACATACAGCCCGAATAAGCAGAGGATATTCAGCTGAGAGACAGTTTGCAGCCAGGAAAGACAGAGGACTCCCAGAAAAAGGGGACGGTTAGAGATTGCGGCTGAAATCTCTCTTGGAGCGCTGGCTCAGCTGCGGAGACCGCGCAATCTAGAGTGGCTGTTACCGGCATCCAGAGATTGGCTACTAACCCGGAAACAACGGATCTCAAGCAGTGCGACTACGTGAACTCAGACGAGCCCTGCTTCTCCCCACAGAAAGGTTAGACTTCCCCCAAAGGTGCAGTTTGCAATTCAGGTTGGAGAGAGGAATGTGCGCGAAAGGAAATCTGCGCCTCACAAAGCCCGCGGCCATTGGGGCCAGCGTGATCCGGGAGTGTGGAAGGGCTCTTGCAGGGCTGCTGGCAGAAGGGAATGCTAAAAAAAAGCCCATAGTTGGACTGCATGCAAAGGAGAGGCCTCAGATTTTGCAAGTCTGCCGGCTACTTGGTGCCAGGGGCCAGAGCACGCGCAGACCTGGAAGGTGGAGCCTTGTGAGTTCGAACAACTTCTCAGGCTCTTGTTTTTACACTTCCCCTTATCTGTGTGTTTGATTGTTGAACACAGTGCATGGGATTACCCAGTTGGGGTCACTCACAGAGCCTGTAGGGGAAGGTTATTTTGGGGGAGCCTGGGAAACAGAGTAGGGAGTAACGACTGGGGAACCAGCTCTGGGCGGTGGACTTTCCCAAGCCAGTTTCAAGTACAATAGAGAAAATAAACCCCAATTCCTGGACAGAGAGGACTTATAGCCTCGGAGGTCAATCCAGACACACTGCCACCCAGAGGCAGAGCCACGAGCGGACTCTTCTATAAATACAAATAAAGGCAGTCTGGGAAACAAATACGGCCTGCCTTAAAATCAGGACTGTGGTTTACAACATGGAGGAACAGTGTATCAGAGAG